TAATTAGTAATGGTCTTATGGGTTAGTAATGGGTCAATGATGGTCTTATGGGTTATTACTGGGTTAATGATGGTCTTATGGGTTAGTAATGGGTTAATGATGGTCTTTAGTAATGGGTTAATGATGGTCTTATGGGTTAGTAATGGGTTAATTAGTAATGGTCTTATGGGTTAGTAATGGGTCAATGATGGTCTTATGGGTTATTACTGGGTTAATGATGGTCTTATGGGTTAGTAATGGGTTAATGATGGTCTTATGGGTTAGTAATGGGTTAATGATGGGTTAATTAGTAATGGTCTTATGGGTTAGTAACGGGTCAATGATGGTCTTATGGGTTAGTAATGGGTTAATGATGGTCTTATGGGTTAGTAATGGGTTAATTAGTAATGGTCTTATTGGTTAATAATGGGTTAATGGTGGTCTTATGGGTTAGTAATGGGTTAATGGTGGTCTTATGGGTTAATAATGGGTTAATGATGGTCTTATGGGTTAGTAATGGGTTAATGGTGGTCTTATGGGTTAGTAATGGGTTAATGATGGGTTAATGGTGGTCTTATGGGTTAGTAATGGGTTAATGATGGTCTTATGGGTTAGTAATGTGTTAATGGTGGTCTTATGGGTTAGTAATGGGTCAATGGTGGTCTTTTGGGTTAGTAATGGGTTAATGGTGGTCTTATGGGTTAGTAATGGGTTAATGGTGGTCTTATGGGTTAGTAATGGGTTAATGATGGTCTTATGGGTTAGTGATGGGTTAGTGGTGGTCTTATGGGTTAGTGATAGGTTAATGATGGTCTTATGGGTTAGTAATGGGTTAATGGTGGTCTTATGGGTTAGTAATGGGTTAATGATGGTCTTTAGTAATGGGTTAGTGATAGGTTAATGATGGTCTTATGGGTTAGTAATGGGTTAATGGTGGTCTTATGGGTTAGTAATGGGTTAATGATGGTCTTTAGTAATGGGTTAATGATGGTCTTATGGGTTAGTGATGGGTTAATGATGGTCTTATGGGTTAGTAATGGGTTAATGGTGGTCTTATGGGTTAGTAATGGGTCAATGGTGGTCTTTTGGGTTAGTAATGGGTTAATGGTGGTCTTATGGGTTAGTAATGGGTTAATGGTGGTCTTATGGGTTAGTAATGGGTTAATGATGGTCTTATGGGTTAGTGATGGGTTAGTGGTGGTCTTATGGGTTAGTGATAGGTTAATGATGGTCTTATGGGTTAGTAATGGGTTAATGGTGGTCTTATGGGTTAGTAATGGGTTAATGATGGTCTTTAGTAATGGGTTAATGATGGTCTTATGGGTTAGTGATGGGTTAATGATGGTCTTATGGGTTAGTAATGGGTTAATTGTGGTCTTATGGGTTAGTAATGGGTTAATGATGGTCTTATTGGTTAGTAATGGGTTAATGATGGTCTTATGGGTTAGTAATGGGTTAATGATGGTCTTATGGGTTAGTAATGGGTTAATTAGTAATGGTCTTATGGGATAGTAATGGGTTAATGGTGGTCTTATGGGTTAGTAATGGGTTAATGGTGGTCTAATGGGTTAGTAATGGGTTAATGATGGTCTTATGGGTTAGTAATGGGTTAGTGATGGGTTAATGATGGTCTAATGGGTTAGTAATGATAGTCTTATGGGTTAATGATGGTCTTTAGTAATGGGTTAATGATGGTCTTATGGGTTAGTAATGGGTTAATGATGGTCTTATGGGTAAGTAATGGGTTAATGATGGTCTTTAGTAATGGGTTAATGATGGCTCTATTGTTCATTTGTTTCTATCTATCTATCTATCTATCTATCTATCTATCTATCTATCTATCTATCTATCTATCTATCTATCTATCTATCTATCTATCTGATGGCCTTGAATCTGTCATGTTTTAGTTACATTTTTAGTGAAACCCATTTAAAGCATATAAACTCTCATGTAAATGAGCGTTACACTGAAACCATCTGTGGAGAAACCAGTTTCACTCTAATTGAATTAAGCATATTTCAGTGTGTATTTCATAGTGTTCGTAAGATCAAACCGCTGAGCTGAAAGCGCTGGTGTGTAGATGCCCAGATCTCAAGACGACACACACTCACAGAGGTTGTTTTGCTCAAGAGGTCGTCTGCTATTCTTACGTCCTGCTCAAGTATTCACACACACCTGATATATTCAGACACCGCTGTGAACACTTGTGCAGAGAAGAGTGTGTGTGTGTGTGTGTCTGCGCGCTCCAATGCTTGATGTTCACTGCAATAAATGCTTCCTTCCTCAGTGTTTCTGTCTTGTTTTCCAGCACAAATATCTAAACATTCTTTAATCAAGAGACATTTACTGGAGAAGCAAAGTAACTAGATATTATTTTCTGACATGTTTTAAAATGAAGTGAGTTTGTGTTTAAAACAGAAAAAAATTTAAGTGGGGTCAGAAAAATAAACTTAATTAAAAAGGAAAGCAAGATTATTTTTCTGACTCCACAGGCAGATATTTGTTCTTGTTTTAAGCACAAACTCACTTCATTTGGATACATTTCTCAGTAATCAAGACTTAATATCTTCAGTCATTTTGCTTCTCAAGTAAATGCATCTTTATTTAAGGATGTTTCGATATTTGTGCTGAAGAACAAGTCAGAAATACTGAGTACAAGTGTCTATATAAACCCTTCATTACAGCCACACAACTCTTTTTTTAGTGAGCGGTTTGCACACACACACACACACACACACACACACACACACACACACACACACACACACACACACACACACACACACACACACACACACACACACACACACACACACACACACACACACACACACACACACACTTACACACACACACACACACACACACACACACACACACACTCTTGTACATCTATCTTTATGAGGACATTCATTGACACAATGCAATCTCTAGGCGCTTACCCTAACCTTACTCATCACAACTAAGTGCTTAACCCGAACCCTTACCCTAAACCTACCCTTAACCTAATTATAACCTTATCCCTAAACCAAGTCTTGACCCTCAAAAAGGCCTTTAAAGGGGTCTCAGAAAGTGAGGACCGGCCAAAATGTCCTCACTTTACTCTCTTTGTCCTCACTCCAATGGTCTAAAACTCAAACTGGTCCTCACAAAGATAGTCGTACAAGTACACACACACACTCTCTCTCAACACACACAATCACTCAATCTCTCTCTCACACACACACACACACACACACACACACACACACTCTCTCTCTCTCAAACACACACACACACACACACACTCAATCTCTCTCTCTCTCACACACACACTCTCACACCCACACACGCACACACACTCTCTCTCTCTCTCTCTCTCTCTCTCTCTCTCTCTCTCTCTCTCTCTCTCTCTCTCTCTCTCTCTCTCTCTCTCTCTCTCTCTCTCTCTCTCTCTCTCTCTCTCTCTCTCTCTCTCTCTCTCTCTCTCACACACACACACACACACCCGCACATGTTTGTGCAGCTCTGTCCTAGATAGCTGTGTGTGGTTCTCCAGGTTTCGCAGCTTTATCTCTTCAGTCGGGGAGATGAAGCGCTCCTGCATAACATGCTCTGATGCAGAAAAACACCTGCCGCTCGACTGGCTGCATGAAACGCTATTTGATGCAAATTCAACAATTTCCTTCCCGGTGAACAAAAGGTAGAACAGAGACGACTCAGAAATCACACACCAGCAACATCATGCTCTCCACCAACACGACAGGAGACATTATTATCAACGTCTGTTTATTTCAGAAGATTTATGGGATGTGAGAGACGTGTGGTGTGTCTCAGTGGACTGTAATCGCTGCTGAAGTGTGTGTGTGTGTCTCAAAGAGCTGAACGCCAGACGCATCTTTATCTGTGGTCTCCTACTACATGAAGCCACAGATACACACACACACACACACACACACACACACACACACACAAGTCCAAACCTGAGCTGACGGCGGGAGGAATCATGGCAGAGACTGAAGACACACATCTGAAATCTGTCTCTAGTGTCCATGAGAACATAAACATTGAGAACATGAACCATCAATTCATCTGTCTGTCTGTCTGTATATCTGTCTGTCTGTCTGTATATCTGTCTGTCTGTCTGCATATCTGTCTGTCTGTCTGCATATCTGTCTGTCTGTCTGTCTGTCTGCATATCTGTCTGTCTGTCTGTCTGTCTGTCTGCATATCTGTCTGTCTGTCTGTATATCTGTCTGTCTGTCTGTATATCTGTCTGTCTGTCTGCATATCTGTCTGTCTGTCTGTCTGTCTGCATATCTGTCTGTCTGTCTGCATATCTGTCTGTCTGTCTGTCTGTCTGCATATCTGTCTGTCTGTCTGCATATCTGTCTGTCTGTCTGTCTGTCTGTCTGTATATCTGTCTGTCTGTCTGTCTGTCTGTCTGCATATCTGTCTGTCTGTCTGTCATTCTGTCTGTCTGTCATTCTGTCTGTCTGTCATTCTGTCTGTCTGTCTGTCCTTCATCACCTGATGCTCTTTTAATCCAGTCATGTCGCACTTGTTATTTATATTCTGTTTTCTCATTAAACTGCTCTGAGTCACAATCAGAGAAAATCCACATGATTCCACTTCCTCATATTTGACACATATTCTCATATATCAGTTTCTCCAGGTTTAAACTTCCCTCTGCTAAAATATTCTAATTTAATTGAACCTTTAATTAAGACAGCTCTTTGTTTTCGTGTTTCTGTTGATAGACAGGAATCCTGATTATTTTAACAGCCTATCATTTATTTTGTATATATACTGAACGTTATCTAACGACTTTATTGTTTTATGAATAGTGCTTGACATGATCATTATAGTAAAGTAATTTTCAAACAAAGAAGTTCAAAGCGATTATTATAATTATTTTAACGTCAGCTCTTATTAAAGTAGTCCTGTGTTCTTTACGCATGTTCCGGTTTCAGCCAATCAGCGCCGCCGCTCATCCGTCACTCAGAGGCAGCATCCAATGAAACCCCAGCGTGACGTCAGAGCCGCAGTGAGCGAGCATCGAGGGCGTGAGCGCGCAAAGAGCTGTTGCTCAGAGCAGCACATGAGCGTACGCGCTCCTCTCAGATTATTATTCTCATCATTTTATTATCGATTTGTGAGCGATTGACTGATTGATTGATATATTATGTCTGTGATGGAGGAGTACGAGCGCGCGCCAAAGCGCCTGAAGGTGTCAGCTGAGGACGAGGAGGAGCTGGAGGAAGGCGAGGAGTCAGACTCAGCATCCCCGGGGCTCATGGGTGAAGATGAGGAGGATGAAGGGCAAAGAAGAGCTCGATGGAGCTCCTCGGATAGGAAGGTCAGACCTAAATCACTGTATTTGATGGCATGTGCATTAATATTCTCAATGCATTCAGATTCATAGTGCTGCATTGATATGATATGACACACGTTTAGTGCATGATGTCAAAACACTGCGAAGAGAAAAACATCAACTGGAACAGTGGCATTGATATAAATCTGACTAGCTGCGGTAAAACAGTCCAGTGTGAAAACATAATCTCACCTACCACAAATCACATGTTACATGCATGTTATATTTGATTAATTTGAGGTGTCATGTCAATAACATTTAAATATGATTTAAAAAAAAAAGAAAATCAAGTCATTTTCATTACATTTAATGTGCATATAGTTTAAAGTACATTTAAAATATAGATATATCCTAAAGTACCCAATTAACACGCGTGTGCATGGAATATATTACATAAATGCATAGTACTATGCTATATATCAAAGTAAAAATAAATTTTTTTTTTAAATTTGGCATCAAATTAAAAATTCCCTTCTTCATAGGTTATTAAAATGTACTTCACACTATGAAAAAATGGTTATTTTGAGATCCGATCACTTGAGATTCGTTGGGGAACCAGAAATGGCATTCTGACTCGAACAAACATGTGCTAAATGTTCATGTAACTCGTGTTGAGCTTGTTCAAGGAGTTCCTGAGATTTCTGCAAACATCCGTATAACCCAAGATTTGTGCAATATGATGCAAACACGGCCACTGTGGTTAAAGCAAGGAAAATACAAAACTGGTGGTTTTGCAATGCCAGTAACATCAAACCAAAACAACGAGGAGAAACTAAAAATGGTCAAGCGAGCATCTTCATAATTCTCATAGCACTTGACTAAAGTCAAGTCAGCTTTACAGAAATCATGATGTGAATGTATTACATATTATTATAATATCTTCTTGTCTTATAGTTGCATTTATCAGATTATATAGTTACATTTCGGGTCGATACAAACAATCAAGCCGTCACGATTTTCTCTGTAGTTGAAATACAACTACAACTGATGTTGAAATGCATCAAATGTTTTATTTTTAAATAATTTGCCTTGCAATATTGACAAAGTAAATAAAACCATGTGATAGAAACTCTCAGATCATCCACCTTTTCTGTCGTTGTATTTATTTCATGGCATAATGCATTGCACACCTCGTGTAATAATTAAAAACACTGGCTAGTAATGTACAGTAAAATATAAGCACACTTCATGCTTCACTTCATTACAGATGAAAATGAGCTTTTCTGCTAACTCTGGCGCATTTTGAGTGTAAACAAAATGTCAATTGATGTGCATTGTCGCTTTTTAATAAAAAAATATAAAAAAATAAAAAATGCACTGCCGTCACTGTAGTATTTAAATAATTATCCAAGATAAGGGGCCCTATCTTGCACTCAGTGCAATTGACTTTGTACACTGCCGCATGTATCATTCGTATTTTGCAGCCGCGCAAAGCGGGCTTTTCCCTCCACAGACGCACGTCGGTAAACTAGGGAATGAACTTGCGCTCCCTGGGCGGGGCGGCGCAAAAAGGAGGCGTGTTTTGGCGCAAACATTCCCTAGTGCTATTTAACAGTTCCAGAAAACAATTGCGCCACTGACCAGAACAAACCTAGTCTAAAGTCAGTGGCGCGTTGCGCGTTGTTCATAATGCTATTTTAAGCGCGCATGCTTGGCCATAGTGTAGCGGTTGCACAACGCGCATACACTTTGATTCTCTCATCTACACAGATGCAGCAGTTTTTATTTTTGCAAATCATACATTATAACAAGGAAAAATATTAACACATGAGGGAAATCATTGTGGTGTCCATGAAGATGTAAAAAAAATATTTTTTTTCCTCCCAAGCCTGTTTAACCGACGCTGATTTGGGTGGGTTTCTCCATCCCCATACAACGTCACTTCTCTGTCTTTCACGGCCCTGACAAGAGCGTCGGTCTCCTCGGCTGTGAACCGCTCCTGCCGCGCGCCTGGTAAATCCGCCGTTATAAAAGCAATCCGCCATGCAACATGCGCACCTGCTCTTAAAGGGTATGTTGGATGACGCTCTGATTGGTTTATTTCACGTTACGCCCCAAACCACACCTATGAATAATGAAGCTACTTCAGACCAACCCCTTTTAACCTTGCGTCGGGCGCAAGAGTCATTTATCCCGCCGGTAAAATAGCAACAGCGCCCAAGACCCGCCCACAAAGTTACTTGCGTTTCAGATCGTTAAAATAGGGCCCTAAGAGTGTCTGATCACATGATGGTTTTACATGCACCCGTATAATGCAATTTAGGCAACATTGCGATTAAACTTTACCTCATGTAAACTAGGGATGCACTGATATGAAAATGTTGGCCGATACCGATAACCGATAATATATTTGAAAACCGATATATTAGCCGATAAAATCTAAATTTGTGTATATTTTTTGAGAGCCTGATTACAAAAACAGAAGTCTCCTCATTAAAAGCCACGTCCCAAACACACAATTATAATGATATGTAGCCGATATGACAGACTTGTGTTGCACTTTACTGTATTTTCCTTTTTGAACTGATTCCAATCATATTTCAAGCAACTCAAATCCATCATGTTGAACATGCGCATCTGAAGTGTCTCAGCTGAGGGAAATAATACATTATTTATCAGCTTTAATATATCGGCCACATTTTCTTATCAGGCCGATAACGATATAGCATCCATAATCCGTAGTAAAACACGTGGGCGTATGCTGATTTTAATCACATTAAACAGGCGTGGAAATACTTTAATCGCATCTATTGCGCTGTGATCAAAGTGTGCACGTGTTTGATACATTCATAAACACAGCGGTAAAGATGGTATGATATTTTTGCGGTGCTGAGTTCATGTTGACAACGTTGCGTTGCGTTTTTTTTTTAGAAAAAATCCATTACATGCATAGAAATGTATTTTGCATTTGATGAAAGTAGTTTAAAACAGTGTCCAGTAACACTTACTGTGTTCTTATAATCACAGCACACATGATAATGGCAGTAAAAATCAACATTTTTAACAAATAATCACAATGATGCAAGCTGAAGATGTTTGCGTGTGTCATGTGATGAAATCCTTCCTTACTAAGTAGATCATTACCGGTGTTCTTGTCAACTATTCAGAGGCAAATCAGATTGGTGTGTGTTTCACAGAGGAAATCTTTGACACTCTTTAAAGTCAGAACATTGAAGTTATTTCACATGCATGAGCTGATGAACTTTATTCAGCACCGGTGTGACATTTTTAATAACCTGACTCTAGTTACCATAAAAGGACCAGGTGTGAGAACCACCAGTGAGTCATTTATGAAACGGTTTTAAACGAACAGCTAATTAAATATAAGCGGCGTCCAGAGGACAGATGTGGGTAATATTAAAGCATCTGGTAAAGTGTTCAGCTTTATTTATACAATACAGATCATCGTTTTAAAGCAGAGATAACAGGAGAATAATGCGTTTGGGCTGTTGTTCAGCTCGAGTCGGTTCGTTGTAAAGATCATCAATTATTAAATTAGTTCATTTCATCTATAAAGCAGTTCTGCAGAAAATGATCTCATCGTCCAGTTCTCATACAGTACAGTCCGATCAATGATTTTGTTTAATATTAATATTAATATATATTCTACATCTAACCATTAAATTATAATGGACCCCATTTACTTTATTACTGCATGTTCCTGGTTTAATTATTATATTATGATATTATATTATGAGATTATAATTAATATTCATATTATGATTTTTATTTTTATTTACATATGTCTATACCGGTATATATATGTATATTATATAAAATATTCTAAATATATATATATATATATATATTTAAATATGATCTATATAATATTTAAATATTATATATATATATATAACAACATTATTTTTATTATTACTATTTTCTACAGCATGTTAATATGCATCTCAGTTGATTTCTATATATTAATAAGAATAATATATATATGTATTATTTACTTCAGCATGTTAGTGTGCAACTCAGTTGATTTAATTCAGTTTTATATATATATTTATATATATATTCCTGGTCAAATTATAATATTATTAGTAGTAGTACATGTTTAATTGTGCGTGTGAAAATAATAAAAACATGTTTTTTATTGAATGAACACAAGAAAGACTGATATTTAATCATTTATATGCACCAGTATGGCAGTAAACAGTCATTTACTTTTTGCTAAAACATTTTAAAATGTATATGATTTTTTTTTTTTACATAAAATATAACAGCTAAAGAAAGCATGAATTCATAATCGACTCCTTTGACCATATTAGTGGCTCATGTTCCTGTTTAATCGTGCACGTGAAATTCATAGTAGTAAAAATAATCAAAAGCATGATTTTTTTTAAACGAAATGAACACAAGAATTATAATTTTGCACATTCTGAGAGATTCAGAAATTATATTTTCATTGTATGTTATAACATTCATAACTTTAATGTGACCTTATTTATGTTAGCATGTATATGCATCCGTCTACTAGAGTATATTTTTACTAAAATATAGTAAAATGTATATGAAAAATACCACATCTTTGAACAATGGTCACATGTTCAATCATAGAACAAGTCAAACATAACTACCTTAGTTAACATGAACTAAAGATAAACAATACTTCCTCAGCATTTATTAATCTTAGTTAATATTAATTTCAACATTTACTAATACGTCATTAAAATCAAAGCTTGTATTGGTTAACATTAGTTACTGCACTGTGAACTAACATGAACAAACAATGAACAGCTGGATTTTTATGAACTAATCTTAATAAAAACTGTAACAAATGTATTGCATATTTTTAATTAGTAAATACATTAACTTGCAAAGTGTTACTGAAAATGCTTACATTGTTGCATTCATGCATCATTATAGTGAATATCTTGTTTCATGTGGACTTTAATGTGCAGTTATGATTCATATCGCAGCTCATTCAGCTGTTTTATTGTGATCTCAACTGCGTGTGAGTGTTTTCACAGTCCAGACGC